AAACCCTCACGCCCCACCGCTACCCGCCCGCCCCCGCACACCCACCGTCTGCTTCCTGTCTCTGTGGACGTGACGGCTCTGGGGACCTCCTAGGTGTGGGATCGCACACTTTGTGACTGACTCATTTCACCTGGCATCCCACCCTCAGGGTCTATCCGTGTGGTAGCCTGTGTCAGGATCCCCTTCCTGCTTAAGGCTGCATAATATTCCCCTGTGTAGACGGTCCGAATCGTGTTCTTCCATCCATCCGTGTCTGGCCGCCTGGGGCGCATCCCCCTCTTAGCTGCAGGACGTGGTGCTGCAGTGAACACACGAGGGAGGACCCAAAAAACCTGGGATTTATTGATTAAAAAATGATGCATTTGGCCGGGTGTGGTGGCTCAAGCCCGTCATCCCGGCACTTTGGGAGGCTGAGGCGAGAGGATTGCCTGAGTCCAGGGGTTTGAGACTAACCTGGGCAACTTGGCGAGACGTTGTCTCTACAATAAATCCAAAAATTAGCTGGGCGTGGTGGCACACGCCTGTAGTTCCAGCTACCTGTAAGGCTGAGGCAGAAGGATTGCCAGAGTCCAGCAGGTCGAGGCTGCAGTGGCCGTGAGCGTGCCATTGCCCTCCGGCATTAAAACAGTTTCTGAACTCATACACGTGAATGCCTTTCAGCGTTTCTGCCGTTTTTTGTTTCACCTCTTCCACATCGGCAACACTTTCCCCTTGGAGCACTTTTTTCATCCAGGAAAATAATAAGTTGCTCAGGGCGAGATGGGGTGAATAGGGGAGGTGGGGCACAGGGGGTCATGCCATTTGGGTCCAAAAATGCTGAACAAGCCGGGCTCGGTGGCTCAGCCTGTCATCCCGCCCCTTGGGAGGCTGAGGTAAGTGGATGGCCTGAGCCCGCGGGTTCGAGACCCACCTGGGCAACTCGGTGAGACCTCATCTCTACAATAAATCAAAAAATGAACCGGGTGTGGTAGTGCGCGCCTGTAGTTCCGGCTCCTTGGAAGGCGGAGGCGGAAGGATCGCCGGAGCCCAGTGGCTCGAGGCTGCGGTGGCCGGGAGTGGCCACTGCACTCCAGACTGGGCAACAGAATGAGACTCCAACTCAAAAAAAAAAAGAAGAAAAAATGCTGAACACTCAGCACGGTGTGGACAAGGGCGCTGGTCAATCCCCCATCATGAGATGGGCCAACGTGTTGAGAGAATCTCCCATAAAAAAAATCACTGAAGCCAAACTCAGCCTCTCCCAGCAATGCCAGCTGGTTCATGGATGCCAACGGGTTCCTGGAACACTCACCTAGGGGGAAGTCTGGATTCCAAGGGACCCCCCTCCATAAGACAATTCTGGGTGTTTTGGGGTTCCCCCTTTTATGTACACATGTATTTATGCCTGAGTGTCCAATCTCTGGGGGTTGGGCAGGTGTACACTACCATGCCCAGAGTGGAACTGCTGGGCCACGTGGTAACTGTGGTCATAGGGGGTTCTGGAACCTTCTGTGTTGAATTTTCAGAGGGGCTGCCAACCTCCTTCCACAGACCCTACCCTCTCACAGGACTGGCCGCAGCACACAGGGCTCCAGTTTCTCATGTCCTTAATATCACTTGTTATTTTCTGGTTTGACCTTAAAGTTGTCCTCACGTCCGCCCTGGATGGGATTTTTTTTTTTTTTTTTTTGAGTTGGAGTCTCACTCCACTGCCCAGGCTGGATTGCAATGGCATGCTCACAACCACCCCAGCATTGACCTGCTAGACTCTGGCGATCCTTCTGCCTCAGCCTTCCAAGTAGCTGGAACTACAGGTGTGCACTACCATGCCCGGCTAATTTTTTAAAATTTATTGTAGAAACGAGGTCTTGCCAAGTTGCCCGGACTGGTCTCAAACCCACGGGCTCAGGCAATCCACTCGCCTCAGCCCAAAGTGTTGGGATGACAGGCTGAGCCACTGAGCCAGGCCTGGATGGGGGTTTTTAGTGCACTTCCCGGGCAACTAACTGTTGTAAGTCCACGGGCCGTGGGCCGTGTGTGTACCTACCCTCTTGGAGAAATATCCATTCAAGTTCTTTGCCTGTTTTGGGCGGGGTGGTTTGTCTTTTTCTTGTTGAGTTGGAAGTCCTTATCAGAGACATCATTTGCAATGTTGTTTTTTTGTTTTTGTTTTGTTTTGTTTTTGAGTCACGGTCTCACTCTGACACCCAGGCCAGAGTGCAGTGCTACAATCACGGCCACTACGGTCTCGACCTCATGGGCTCGGGCGATCCTTCTGTCTCTGCCACTCAAGTAGCTGGGACTACAGGTGTGCACCACCACACCCGACTAATTTTTTGATTTATCGTAGAGACGAGGTCTTGCTGTGTTGCCCAGGCTGGTCTCAAACCCCTTGGGCTCAAGCAATCTTCCCACCTCAGCCTCCCAAAGTGCTAGGATGACAGGCGTGAGCCCCCACACCTGTGTCGTGCCCCCTTCTTCCTGTGATCCCTGAGATGGTGCTCCTCTGGAGTGAAACTGCCTGAGTTTGATGCCAGTTCAACTCGTGGGCTGTGTGGCCTTGGGCAGGTTTCTGAACCTCTCTGAGCCATGGTACCCTCCTCTGCAGAAAGCGGATAATTGCCATAGCGCGAGCTGTCATATTTGTATTCAACGTGTTCACACTCTATCACAAAACTGTGCACACCACACTCCCTCCACCCCTCACCCCACCGCCTCTGTGTACTTGTGGGTTGTCTGCCTCAAAGAAGAGGGCACGAGCATCTTTTCTGTCTAACCCCGTGCCTGCAGCCAGGCCAGGCACACAGTGCTGGCGGGACCTCCTGTTGGTGGGGGTGGTCCCAGCCTGCCACTTGCTGGCTCTGCAGCCCGGGACATCTTAATTCACCTCTCTGGGCCTTGGCTTCCTGTCCACAAAATGGGGATAAAAATTGGACCCACCTCTTGGGTTGCTGGAGAATTTGATGAGGGAATCCTGGGCAAAGCAGCAGAACAGGACCCGGGCCAGGCTTGGTGGCTCGTGCCTTTCATCTCAGGACTTTGGGAGGCCAAGGCGGGAGGATCCCATGAGACCAGGAACTCAAGTCCAGCCTGGGCAACACAGAGAGACCTTGTCTCTACAAAAAATAAAAACAAAATATTAGGCCAGGCTCGGTGGCTCAGGCTGTCATCCCAGCACTTTGGGAGGCCGAGGCGAGTGGATTGCCTTAGCCTGTGGGTTCAAGACTAGTCCGGGCAACTTGGGAAAACTTCGACTCTACAATAAATCAAAAATTAGCTGGGTGTGGTAGCACGCGCATGTAGTTCTGGCTACTTGGAAGACTGAGGTGGATCACTGGAGCCCAGCAGATCGAGGCTGGGATGGCTGTGAGGGTGCCGCTGCACTCCAGCCTGGGCGATGGAGTGAGACTACCACTCAAAAAAAAAAAAAAAAAAAAAAAGCCAGGTGAGGTAGTGCACACCTGTAGTCTCAGCTACTCAGGAGGCTGAGGCGGGAGGATTGCCTGAGCCCAGGAGGTGAGCCATGATCGTGCCACTGCACTCCAGTCTGGGGACAGAGTGAGACCCCAAGTTAAAAAAAAAAAGCAACACACAGGACCCAGGGGGCCTGAGCAGGTTGGGTTTAGCACCACGCAAACCGCCATGGTGACCAGGCAGTGGTGAGGGCACAGGCTGTGCCCGGACCTCCAGCTGGGACAGGGCTGCCCTCTTCTCAGAGCAGAGCTGTGCCTCCCCCTGTGGCCTCCGCAGCGTAGAGACAGCTAGCCCGAGGATGCTGGGCCAGGGGCACAGAGCGGACGGCATGCTCTTTCTGGAAAGGACCTGCAGCACTTGGCCGGCCACGGGGCGCCGGCTCTGTTCCAGGTGCTTGGCACCACCATCCAAGCCTGAAAGTAGCCACAGACCACGGCGAGGAGTGGGACCACGGGCCAGGAGGGCTTTACTGTGGACACCCAGATGTGAATTTCATGTCACTTTCATGTCTCTCAAAGTCTCCTCTTAACCCTTTCAGCCACTTAAAGATACGGGCTGTCTTAGCTTGCGGGCTGCGTGGCAGCCACAGCTCGCTGTCCCCGCCTGTATCCCCTAGACCTGGTTCTGTGTCCCAATGTGCCCCCGCCCCTCCAGGCTGTTTTCCCATCTGTAGAAGGACCATGGTCCTCTCTAGCTCCAGGCTCCTGGGACTGCAGCCCTCAGCCCACGGTCAGTGAGTGGGCTCAGGCTTGGAAGGGGGCCAGGAGAGTGACCCTCCACCTGCCGCCCCGGGGACAGGGGTGAGGGAGGCTGTTCATTTGGGTGGATGTAATCCTGGTCCCCAGAGACCCAACCTGGGGGCGTGTTACTGCCACCACCAGCCCCCCTTCTGCAAGCCCCGCACCTCGCCAGCCAACCCCCTCACTCAGAGGCCTCCTGGGTGCTGCCCCCGCCCAGGGCCGCCTGCAGGGCTAGGTCAGACCTGCCAGGATCCAGCCCTGACCCCGGAGGGCCCTGTGTCTCTCCCAGCCAGCCCGTCTCTCCATCTGCTCATGGCCCTCTCGACGGTGCGGGTGGGCCAGACAGTGGGTGCAGGGCAGAGAGGACGGGAGCGCCCTTCTCTGACCTCTGCCCTCGTACCCTTGGCATTGAGCTGGCCCCTGCGCCCCGCAGCCCCAGGCCGCCCCCCGACACCCCATCCCCCACACCTGCGTCTCTCTCTTGCAGGCAGAGTACAGGCTGTGCAATGGATTCGACAAGGAGTGTGTGTCCCCGACGGCCAGGGTCACCAAGAAGGAGACTCTTAAGGTGGGCCCAGGCAGCGGGGCGGCTGTGCCATCTGGCAGATAGACGGGCCCCTGAACCAGAGAGGTCACCCATCTCCGGCCTGCCAGAGGGAGGGGACATGCTGCACCGGCCGCCTCCACGCCCTCGTCCTCTCTGTCCCGCCCTGTCCCCCACTGGGCTGGACAGCGGAGGGGGGGAGGGATAGCTGGGGCCAGCTCTGGGCCCTCTCCCGTGACCCACCCACTGGGTGCCCGGCCCAGGTGCAGAAAGAGAACTACCGCCAGGAAAAGAAGCGGGCCACCAGGCAGCTACTCAGCGCCCTGACGGACCCCAGCGTGGTCATCATGGCTGACAGCCTGAAGGTAGGACCCCGCCTGTGCTCGCTTTCTGAGGCTGCCGTGGCAAAGGACAGCGAGTCGGTGGTCTAAGCCGACAACCTCATTCCCTGAGTCTAGTCATGTCCCTCCAGCCCCAGTCCGTCCTCTCATTCCTCCTTGCATGTCTCTGTGTCTCTGGAGAGGACACCCGTCACAGGGCTCGGGCCCACCCTTGGCCACAGAGGCCGGGTCTCTACCTGATGACCTCTGCAAAGACCCTACTTCCGATGACTGGGGCTTGGCCGGCGGGTGGGGGTCACAGAGGGGCACAGCCTCTTGGCTTCCAGGGAAGGACGCTGCGTCGGGGCGGGAGGGCTGTGTCAGACCCACCACGGTGGGGGCCGGGCACTCAGTCCCTAGCCTCGGTTTCTCCCTCCATACAGTGGGGGCAAAACCACCCAGCCCCAGGGATGCCAGGGGTCTGGTCGTGGGCAGAGTCCTGACCTGCGTGGGCTCCTCCCACCCACACACCAAAGTTAGGAACGAAAGTGAGGTCCAACATGAGTATTTATTTAGGAGAAAAGAAACCACAACGAGTTTCAGCATGTACAAAGCTGATAATCACAACAGTCTTCTCACTGTTAGTCTCCCAGGACCCTGGAGTGCCTTGACCTTGAACTTCACCTTCATGAACCTCACCAACAAATCTGTCCCTGGCTGCCATGTATTCTTAGGCTTCACCCTCCTCTACAGGCTTCTTTTAAAAATGAAAGGAGGGGCCGAGCCTGGGAGGCCAAGGTGGAGGATTGCCTAAGCTCAGGGGTTTGAGACCAGCCTGGGCAGCATAGCGAGAACTTGTCCTACAAAAAATTGAAAAAATTGGCTGGGTGTGGTGGCATGCACCTATAGTCCCAGCTACCTGGGGGGCTGAGGCGGGAGGATCGCCTGAGCCCAGGAGGTTGAAGCTGTGGTGAGCCGTGATGGTGCCACTGCCCTCCAGCCTGGGCGACAGAGTAAGACCCCGACGCAAAATAAATAAACTGAGTGGACCCTACCTGTGGCACAGAGGGAGCCCTGGGTTTTGCTCTGAGTCCCTGTGGCACTGCCCACCTGGCTTGACTCTGCCTGGACACACAGCAGGCACAGGATACCAAGGCGGGGCAGGAGGAAGTCTCCTGCCCAAGCAGGCGAGCAAGAGGGAGAAGAAGCCAGGCATGGTGGCTCACATCTGTCATCCCAGCACTTTGGGAGGCTGAGCTGGTAGGATTGCTTGAGTCCAGACGTTCCAGAACAGCCTGGGCAACATAGTAAGCCCTCATCTCTACAAAAATAAAAAAAATACTAACCAAGCACGGTGGCGCACACCTATAGTCCCAACTACCCGGGAGGCTGAGGCGGGAGGATCGCCTGAGCCCAGGAGGGCGAGGCTGTGGTGAGTTGCGATGGCACCACTGTCCTCCAGCCTGGGGCTCAGAGGGAGACCCCCAACTCAAAATAAATAAAAAGTAAATGAAAGGGAGGCCAGACACACTGGCTCAAGTATATAATCCCAGCACTTTGAGAGACAGAGGTGAGAGAATTGCCTGAGCTCACGGGTTCGAGAACAGCCTGGGCAACTTGGTGAGACCTCATCTCTACAATACAACAACAACAAAAAAAAAAACAGCGGGGCATGGTGGCGCACACCTATAGTTCCAGCTACTTGGAAGGCTGAGGCGGGAGGATCTCCTGAACCCAGCAGGTCGAGGCTGCAGTGGCCGAGAGTGTGACCCTGCACTCCAGTCGGGGCGATGGAGTGAGACTCCAACTCAAAAAAAAAAGAAACCGAGAAGGGCCCGCTTGCATCTCCGCCTTCCGCCCGCTCCCACCCGCCACCCCGTGCGGATGCCCCAGGCGCGTGGCCTCAAGGCGGGCGCTGACGGCAGCCTCCCTGCAGATCCGCGGGACCCTGAAAAGCTGGACCAGGCTGTGGTGCGTGCTGAAGCCGGGCGTGCTGCTTATCTACAAGACACCCAAGGTGGGCCAGTGGGTGGGCACCGTGTTGCTCCACTGCTGTGAGCTCATCGAGCGTCCCTCCAAGAAGGACGGCTTCTGCTTCAAGCTGTTCCACCCGCTCGACCAGTCCGTGTGGGCCGTGAAGGTGCTGGGGGCGTCGGGGAGGGCCATAGGGGAAGGGGGGAGGGCGCCTCGTCCTGCGACAGAGAAATGAGTCCGCATTGGGCCTCTCTCTGCCAGCCTCTCCCTGCCAGCCTCAGAGCTCAGAGCTCCCTGCAGGACGGAGATCAGATTCAGGGATCGGTCAGGGAGGGTCACAGGTGGGGGGGCGGGGGGATGGAGGTCTCACCGCCGGCCCCCATCACCCAGCTGCTGCCCAGGAGGGAGGCCGGTAGCCAATCCTCAGGGTGGCTGGGAGCAGGCCCACGTGTCCAGTGGCTCCTGGCCCAGCCCTCCACCCCTCAAAACTGGGGCCCACCCGACCCAGGACCAGCTGGGTCAGGATTGCCGGGGAAATCCCCAACACCTCGTTACATTTGGATTTCAGCGGAACAGCACAGTTGCTTTAGGCCGGGTGCAGTGGCTCACGCCTGTAAGCCCAGCACTTTGGGAGGCCAAGGGTGGAGGATTGCTTGAGGCCAGGAGTTGGAGACCAGTCTGGGCAACATAGCGAGATCTCTTACTTACAATTTTTAAAAGTAGCCGGGTGTGGTGGTGCATGCCTGTGGTCCAGCGACTCGGGAGACTGAGACGGGAGGATCGCTCGAGCCCAGTTCAAGGCTGCAGTGAGCAATGGCCGCGCCACTGCACTCCAGCCTGGGCGACAGAGCGAGACCCGTCTCTAAAGCGGGACATACTTATACCGAGAAGCGAGTCATTTCTCTGGGACTCGAATGTCCCTGGGTATCCTGGAGTCACATTTGTGATTTCCGCCCCCCTGGGTTGGTGACTCAGAGCTGGACAGCCAAGGGCAGAGCCACCGGCTGGGACGGGGGACAACACTGCCCTCCTATCCACCCCTCTTGCTGCCCACCCTGTCTGCCCCGCCAGGTGCCTGTCCCTGACTGGGGTCCTGAGGCTCCGAAGTGTGCGGGTGGGTCTGCAGGGCTCCGCGAGCCCGCCTGGGCCACTGTGCCTGGCATTGCTGGGTGACGCCAGCGCTCTGCCCCTGTAGGGCCCCAAGGGCGAGAGTGTGGGCTCCATCACACAGCCCCTGCCCAGCAGCTACTTGATCTTCAGGGCGGCCTCCGAGTCAGACGGTGAGTCGCAGCCTACTCTGTAGCGCCCCTCCGTGTCCCCACCGGGGTCA